AAAACCTTGCCATGCAAACCCAATACACTTTGCAATGCTTAAAGCTTGGAATTTTGGTTTTCAATACATTGTTTATCTGCTGTGACTCAGTTTTGGGTGGGTTTGCCGCATTTTCCCTGCCTACACGTTTTGTCACGTGGTAGCTGCCACTGTTACTACTCTTTCTGTGTTAAAGGCTAAAAGGAAATTTGTCATGGCAGCATCCTCTCCAGCATCACACACTTTCATTTAATATGACTCGATCCAGTTCTTAAAATACTTCTCTCTCCTAAGAAACTGGATCAGTGCTAACAATTAACCTGTCACAAAGCCTTGCACATACAAAACTGAGGTTATTCAGAGTTCTGGAAAGACAGTCCTGTTATTAAGATCCTGGCAAAGTTTAAATTTGCTCTGCCATGCAGAATTTTAAATGGAGGTACTAGCATAGCACACGCAAGGTGGCAGCTTTGCTGGCAGAATGTGACAGGTAGTGCAACAGACTCACACCTCCACGTGCAAAAAGCGATGGGTCCTACTGGTCTGTATACATGGGAGCATGATCTGCAGACTTGCAAGTGTTTTCAGGGCTCAGCACTGATAAAGCCTCAGCTGGAGAATGCAGTGCCCCAAACTGGACACAGTTCTGCTGAGAAATTTACTGTCTGGAGAGCATCTAGAAGTCAACAGAGTAAGGCTTGGAAAAAGTGATGTGTTTTGTCATTTGGGCTTTTATAGTGGACTGAAGGGAGACTTTAAGGAAGAGTCTTTGAGGAAGGGAATACTCTGATCTGCACAACTAAGGATTTGAAGTCCAGTGGGAAAAATGCAGGTCTGAAAAGATCTACAGCAGTAAGGACAGTGTAGCACTGGATCCTATTCCCCAGGAACAGGCCTGTCTAGCCTTTTCCTTCAGAAATAGTGATGGTCTGCACAGTCCTTGATAACTGCTTTGAGGTGGTAGGTGAGGCTGAGTTCTCAGCACCCCTTCAGACCTGTTTTCTAGAAATTGGGGAAGGACTTTTCATAAGGGCAGTTAATGACAAAACAAGGGGAAATGGCTTTAAGCTGAAAGAGAGGAGGTTTAGATTACATATTAGGAAGAAGTTTTTCACTGTGAGGGTGGTCAGACACTGGAACAGGTTGCCCAAGGAAGCTGTGGATGTTCCTCCCTGGAAGTGTTGGTGGCCAGGCTGGATGAGGCTTTGAGCAACCTGGTCTAGTGGAAGGTGTCCCTGCTGATGGCAGGGGGGTTGGAACTGGATGATCTTTAAGGTCCCTTCCAACCCAAACCATTCTATGTTTCTATGAAATTATGGAGCTAGTTTGGCTCATGGGTCATATTGGTCTTTACATGAGATAACTGGTAGTACTTGTGGGTGTGCTTTGATCAGTGTTGCCATTAAGTGAAATTATTAATTGTTGATATAAGTTGTTAAACTGCTTCTTCTTTTCTTTAATTTAGATTAAGGATTTCCTGAGCTATATCCAACCTGTGAATGTGTATCCCAATGTACTGCCAGTGGGTGGGACAGAGGACAAAGTTATGGAAATGTAAGTGACAAGTGGCTGCTGAATGGAGGGGATCTGGTCTTGGTCCTTTTAAGGACAACTCCCCTCCTGAATCCCAACCTCTTAAGCAGGCCCCTGCCTTTTGCTTTACTGTTTTGATAATTCAGATTTTTAATTTTTTTTCTATATACAGTCCTGCAAACTTCAGCTTTCTGAGGAGCACTTTTGTGCTGTGCCAAGTCTGCGAGTTTGTATTCCACTCACTACTTCCATCTATGTGTAGAGGCTTTTCTGCTGTTAACCTCCATTTGGGTGGAATCTGAATATGCATTCACCTTGCTTTATTCTGTGAGCTTTTCCTATTTGTCATTGCTACTTCTCTGCTAGTTTTTTTTAAAGACAGTTTCTCTAAGGACTTGGAACTCCTGCCCTCTGTACAGCATCACAGAGGCCTGTGCTCTTGTGCTGCTACAGATGTTGGCAGCTCAGAAAGTGCTCTTATGGAGCGGGAGAGCAGTGGTGTCACTCAGTCTGAGGAAAATGAGGACTTGAATAAAACTGCAGTCAGATTTTGAACCCTGTCATCTTGTCTGCTCTAAGCAAGGGACTATAAGTTTCCAGATGGTGTACGTGCTTTAAGGTAAATATATAGAAATGACAAGATTTCTACCTTTAAGCTGCCCAGGATCACCAATGAACTGGCAACTTTTCCCTGGCTATTGCTGCCTTTAACACTTTTGCTGCAGTGCCTGTGAAAGGCAGGAAGTAGTGTACTTAGATCAGGTTAAAAGATTTACTTTTGCTCCTGAAAGGATCTGCCGAGTTACAAGTATTAATCGCTTTTCTCATTCACCTCAGATTAAAGCCATTATGCAGGTCGTACAGGAGAAACATGGAACCCAAGTACAAGCCCTTAGGAACACTGAAGAGAGTCCACAAGAGAGACTCATCTGATACAGGTAAAGGTTCTGCTGGTGCTGCTGTGCCTTCAGTTACAGTCTGAGGCTACGCAGAGGTGCCAAAGGCCGTGGTGTTCACCACAGTCTGTCTGTGCTCAAAGCAACAGGTAGAAAGGAGAAATATAAATTAAGTGAACTTGGGTTTTAGGAGGGTGAGAGAGAGACTACTGGGTAAAAGTGTACTGCTTGGCGATCTTAAAATGTACTGGGTGCTTAACAGCCCTTTAAGTTCCTGGAAGAGTTCCATTCCACAGGCCTAGAGCGTCCCTAGTAAAGCTGTTTGCTAATGGACCTTTAGGTGTGTCACCTCCTGTGTTGTGGGGGACGGAGTGCTGTATCAGTGGAACTCTTCCTCTTTGTTATCTCACACTCCTGGCCTTTTAGCAACTAATAGCTTTTTAAATTTAATGATGGGAAGTGGATGCTGTACACAGCCTCTGGAAAGCCACTTGGGAACTTTGAAGATAACTTTGGGTCTGCTGCATTCTCTTTGGCTATTTCTGAAGTGCCAAGTATGCCAGGGCAATGTTGTCCTGGGAAAACACGTTAGAGGTCAGGGATACATCTCATCTGCTGTGGCTTGTATGGAGGATGGCAACTAGCAGCTTGCTCTGTAAAGCACTGTGCCAGACAAGGCAAGGCAAATGCTGTCAATAAAGTCCTGCTAAGTCCCCATCCGGGTTAAAGTCCTGGGGAGGGACTTTTCATAAGGGCAGGTAATGACAAAACAAGGGGAAATAGGTTTAAGCTGAAAGAGGGGAGGTTTAGATGAGATATTAGGAAGAAGTTCTTCACTGTGAGGGTGGTCAGACACTGGAACAGGTTGCCCAGTGAAGCTGTGGCTGCTCCTCCCTGGAAGTGTTCAAGGCCAGGCTGGATGAGGCTTTGAGCAACCCGGTCTAGTGGAAGGTGTCCCTGCTGATGGCAGGGGGGTTGGAACTGGATGATCTTTAAGGTCCCTTCCAACCCAAACCATTCTGTGATTCTATAATTCTATAAAGAACTTTTTCCTCTCTTTGTACTTAATTATTTTTTATTAAAACTTTGCTCTCAACAGAGTTTTATCAGAGATCTGAACTTTTATTAGTTGTTTTTTTTTTTTTCTTTTCTGGACAGATGAAGATGATTTCTTTGATACAGAATTAACTGCTGCAAGGCCTAAGATTCCAAAAAAGCAAAGCAAAGAGAGCAGGACCTCCAGTGCAGGACAGTCTGAAAATGCTGAAGGAAAGATTAACGAGAGCACAGAAAGCTACAAAGGAACCACAACTTATATGTCCCTCAAGGCAGACTTCATAGACTGTGAGGAATCAAATGATGATGATGATGACGACGAAGAAGAATCTGAAAAAAATATAGTTCAAGTTCGTTCCCCTGAGCGAGATGCCACTTCCACATCCAATTCCAATGGAGTAACTAGTGACCAACAGGAGTCTAATGCCGACGTCCCTCGCTGGGATGCATTTTTTCAGTGTAACAAACTCGAAGAAAGCTCTGAAAATGAGGACAACTTCCCATCTTCAGCAGATGCTGGTGGGTCCCAGTCACTCTTCAGTGATTCCGATGGAGTAAGTGACTCCACACACATCTCCTCCCAAAATTCTTCTCAGTCAACACACATATCAGAGCAGGGGAGCCAGGGCTGGGATAGCCAAATGGACACAGTACTCATTACATCCCAAGAGAGAAGTGCCTTGGACATGAGCAGCTTCAGCAAAGGTGGGAGCAGAACTGTTGTCCCTCTGTTGCAGGAGACTGCCAAAGACAGTCAACCTGACAACAGCAGGTGGAAGCCACTGGGCCAAAATAAATCTTGTGCCTACGATGGTGCCTGTGAGTTGAAAAGCAAAGACTGCGAGAAAGATGCAGAAGCTGGCACTGCTCACGGTCAGGATGCGCTGGCAGAAATAAATGCCAACTCCAGGACTCCTGATCTAGAACTGAGGAGGGACTCCCAGAGCTCCTCTGACTTTGAAATTCCCTTGACTCCTGGTGCTGAAGTGCCTCAGCCAGATAAACTGCACAGTTTGTATAAGAAGCTAGCAGCAGGGGAAAGCATACTCAATGAGAAAAAAGTCTCCTGAAGACAGGATATCATGAAAATAAATACCAAACTTTGCTTAATAAACAAATTATTTTTTTTAATTTAGTGAATTATTTTGAATTATAATGAATTATTTTTTCTCTTTAATGCTGATGACTATCTACAGCTCTGCTAATTCACGCAGTTTTTTTCAGAACCATCTTACTGTCAGAACTAGGCAGCTGCAGCCTGTGTATCTTTATTTGTTCCTTGCATGGAATACTGACAAGGAAGTGTTCCTAGGAGCGACTGTACCAGCCTTCTACCTCCTGAGGTTCAGTCCTCCAGGAGAGGAAGTAGACAAAAAAATGGACCAGAGAAAACTAAGGGTGGAACACTGAATTAAATTTAGTGTTTCTCTTTATCATGAGCTCTAACTGTTTGCCTTTGAGATATATATATATATATATATATATATATGTGATCTCAGGTTTTAATAAGATAACACATTTTTAAATGTGGAGAGGAACACAACATAGTTTAGGAATGACCAGGCAAACAAAGCAATAGTTTCAGTTTCCTCAAAACTCAAATCCTGAGTTTCCACTGTAGTTATTTTTAAGAACAACTGCAGAACAGATTAGAGAATTACTGAGAGGTTTGGGTTTTTTTTCAATCGTTCTTTTAAAGCAGTCTCTCTTTACCCTGAGAAAGTCTTGTCATCCACTTTAACTCCTAAATGAGGTGTTATACACCATTATTTATGGTTTAAATCTTAACTCATTGCAAACAACTTGTCATCAGTTCCTCCATGTTTTGGTTTGTTCTGAATTTTTTTCTGAATGACTTAAAGAATCCAATCTTGTGGCTCATGGTTCCACAGCCACCAGCAGTAGCTTACTCTGGAGGCCAATTCACAGCACCAGGAGCTAACCTGCTGTCTATCTTGGACAGGTTGTTACATTACTCAAGGCTCTTATATTACCAAATTTTACCTCCTCTGCAACAGTCTGTTGACTTCTCAGAGTTTGGACATGTTTACATTTAGTTTTTTAAATCAAGACAGTGGATGAACTAACTCTTTTCCAAAATTCCTAAGCTTTTAAAATGGAAATGTAATTCAAGTTTTTATTAAACTGCAGTGCCTACTGAGTTTGGACATGTTTACATTTAGTTTTTTTAAATCAAGGCAGCTGATTCTTCAAGCATGAACTAACTCTTTGCCAAAATCCTTAAGCTTTTAAAATGGAAACGTAATTCAAGTTTTTATTAAACTGCAGTGCCTACCCAATGCCTCCACAGCACAAAGAATCTAAAAATCCATGAGGTTTCCCATCCATGTGGTCTTAAGTCCCAAAGAATCAAACAGACTTTTAGCTCTCTGAGTATGTCCCCAGTCTTTCTGCCACCTGTAGTGATGGGTGAATGTCAGACCACCCAGCAGCTGCTCTTGGGAATGGTGGCAGGAGGGAAGGTAGAAAGAAAAAAGCTATCACTGATATATGGTTGTAAGGGTATTCACATCCATGTATTTCTCCACTGTCACCTCACACACTCCATTCTTGGAATTAAACATCATTTCCAAACCTGGTGTAACAAGCTCAAGTGAGTGAAACTGCTGCTGTAACAACCTCTGCAAATACAGTCGGACAGAGCAGAAACTCTGCTGTTGGCTCGTTTCCTTAACTGTATTATACACCTAAGTTCAGGGCCGTGTTCACAGTGAGTCCACTCTGCTGTAGACAAGTTGACAGTGTAAATTTCTACAAGTACTTATCAGCCATAAACTGAATAGGAAGCACATGACTGACTTCCTCACAATCACTCTACTACAGTCCGTACAGTGCCAGAAAATTTGGGACAGGAATGAAGAGGTTGTGGTCCTAAAGCAAACTCTACTCTGCTGCAACCACAGCTTATTTTGACAGGCTGTTTTTTTGCTGTGTTTTGTTTGGGTTTTTTTTGTTAAGAATGACAACAACAAGAGCAAAACTAAATTTAATTTATTTTATCAAAAACTATAGGAAGATAGCAATACTAGAGATCACACATTATGAAAAGAAAATGTTCCTGAGCTTACAAACTGCATATTCTAATGTACACAGTCCTAAAACATACATTAGAAATAACCAAAAGATTGACTTTGAGATTAAATAAATAGACAATAGCTTTTCTTACAGGTGATCTTGCAGCTTTAGTTTTGCCACCAAAAAAAAAATTAAAAAAATTTTAAACCCAACAAAAAAGAACGGCTAGAGGATAGATCACAGGTTACCAGTCTCCAAGAAGTGCGTGTACACAACTGAACTGGTGGCCATGATAATGCTAACAGACCACAAAGGAAAACAAAGGCAGAAGCCAGGCTGGTTTAGACTCCTTAAGAAATTGAAAATAGCTTTTTCTCCTTTTCCAATTTGGCAATTTTCCCCCGAACTCATAAAAACAGCAAAAGGAGTTTTAAAAGTGACACAGTGTCCCCATGAAGCTAATTCACGGACTGCAATCCAAATGCACTGTGAATATGGAAAGAGAAAATACTGTTCAAGGCTCTATATTGGAAACTGGATACATGGGTTTACCTCAAAGAAATACAAAATAACTGTTACCTCCCAGAACATAAATTAATGGTCCTTTATTTATCACACAAGAGGTAACGCACATCATCTCCTTAAAGAACAGCAGTGTTGTTCCAGTGCTGGTGGTGACACAAACTGCCTTGGGAAAAGGCAGACGCTGACCTCGAGTACAGCTACTAAGAATTTTATCTTTTAAAATGTGCTTACTTCCAATTTTTAAATCAAACTGGGCACGGACATAGACAGACAGAGTGTCGAACCAGCCCCGTGTCATCCTGTGGAGGAGAGATCAGAGACACCGAGTTGGTAATGAATCCATGTCTTGTGGCAGCCGCTCTGACCCTGCTGCACGCCAGGGCAGGCTGCAGAGCGCGGCAGATCAAGGAGCAGGAGACTGCAGATCCCATCCCCCTGGGATGCATCGCTGAATCGGGCTACATGCAAGAGAAAGCACTAATCCCTCCGAATGATGCAAGATCATCTAGAGTTTGCTAACATGAAAGCTCCCCATTCCATTTCAACTTCATATATATAGATATATATATGTAAAAAAAATCATTAGCTGTGTGGCATGAATTGACTAGGTTCAGCATTTATCCAAGTGTGTGGATACAGGCGAGCCTCATAATGTCACATACTTTTAAATCTAAAGTGAACTTTCTCCTATTCATTAAACAATATAAAGGATCTGTTTCAATGTGTATCTGTCCGTATTGCAGATTACAAAACCAGAGCACTTTCGATGGCCTACACTCCTCACCCCAACCCTGAAACCGATTTTGGCCAGTAGCATAGAAAATTTCACCTTCTGCCAGAGAGCCGGATCTTCAGTGCAAATGCAACTGTGCTTCTTAACGAACAACCGACCTGTATTATCCTTTGAAACACTCTTTTTGGAGTGCTAGTAATTAACGTGAAATTTAAGGCATTTTCTAACAAATGAAGTAAACGGTTATATGCTGGGTACTTGACTTCATTCACCTGAGCCAACAGCTGTGCACCTTATAAAGGTAACGAGGTGACCTATGATACATAGCTAGCATCCATTTACGGAGCAACATTATTCTGCCTGACCTTATCAACATTTACACCATCTGTAAGCAATATGCAAGTTTTACAAGCTTTTAATCCATGAGAGTAAAGCACTTAAATCCTCCCTGGAGCAAGGACCTTGGCTGTTAACTCCACCCATAACCTACCTCAAAACTGCTCTTCAGTGTTCTTGAAGCCAAGCAAAACTTAGCATACGTTATGAATAGATCGAGATAATTTTAAGATGATCAGGAAAAAAAAAATTAATAAAAATAAAGACGACTCAAGCAGCTGAAGAACAGTACATTTCTCAGCCTTTACATTCATGAACATCTTACAAATGTCTACAGGAAACAGGTAAACTCACCCCTAGTCTAACTTCACTGAAGTTAACGTTTTTGCAACAAGAAAAAACAGGCCTAGTATCTTACAAGTCTGTCACCAGATAAAAAAAGTCACAGTTTGTAAAAACTTAATCAAACCCAGTTGTGAATACAAATCAGTTCCCAGGGTATTTCTGCACCTAACAGATAACTGAGCATATCTCCACAACGCATCAGCTTTGTCAGACAACGGGCTGCTCTCCCTATCCTTTTGTTATCTATGTCCAAACTGTAGCCAGTAATTTGTTTCAGCCGTGACTGCCAAATTTCAGCAATGAAAACAAACAGGGCGCGTTGCTACCAATAAACTCTCTGTAGAACTGCAGACCTCCTGCAGCACCAGAACCAGAAACCAGAACTAACAACTGGAAACACTTCTATTCGTAAAACTCCTAAATAGCACTAAAAACATTCGAGACCTTGGGTCTTAACATCTGGAATCTGCTAAAAACAACTGCTTTACTTGCGTGGAGTTCAATGGGCATTTTACAGTTTGGGTTCCTGTGAACCTTCATTTAGACCCAGTCTGCTGGCTGCCCTTCATCCCTCACCCCAGGGCCACAAATGTTATTGCTCATCTCTTGAAGCTTTTCTTTACACAACAAAAAAAGCGCAAGAACTGTTAGCTATGATTTACGACTCAAATCAAATGCCTCCAGACTTTTCAAGGTACAGAAAATACAGAAAATATGTAACATCTCTTCATCCCACCGAAATCAGTTCCCAAAAGGCCTAGGGCTGTAAGCTCACACTCAAATATTCAAATCAAGGTACATTTTAAAGAGTTTTCTTAGCATACACTTTACTGCTCCCTAAATAACAGTTCTAGAAAAATCAGGTTTTAATCCCCGTTAGCAGTTTTCTATTTGCCTGAAACACTACATCTCTTTCTTTGGCCAATGCCATTTTAATTACAAATGTAACACCTTCTTTTCACTGGATTTATTTACATTAGACATAAGAATATGTGAATATACGTGTGAAAGAAGATTCTTCTTAAAACACATGTAAAAGAGAACGAAGTACTTGTGACTTTGGATACCCGGACTCAGTTGAGATAACCTCTGCAACACACAGCTCCACATTTACAGACAGTTCTGATCCTCTTTTTGGATGGGCTAAGACCATCAGCAGAGTCTGAAGTCAGATCTATTGAACCTGTGACACAGATAAACACAAGTCAGGATGTTTTAAAAGACAAACTGAAACCATGCTAAATATTCAAATGGCTTCAAAACCCTTGTACCACCCCAGTTCTTAAAATAATCGTGTGTGTTTTACCCAAATTCTACAGACCCCCCTCCTCACAACTACTTACACCACACCTAGCATACATATCAGAATCCAAAGCTCAACAAACTCAAGCCTTGTTCCTTCAGGTCTGTATCCATCCTGGCCAGCGGAGACTGCAGCCTGCCTTCAACATTAGTGTCACAGACATCACAAAAAAGAGGACTTTTAGGGATCCAAGTAAGATCCATTTGTCAGCACTTAAAGAGGGCTTCTACAAGAATGAGGCACAGCTCTGTATAAAGATTCTTCTTTTAAAACTAAATATTAGCAGGACAAACAATAAATACAGTGCTGCTGCAGATAAATGGTTTGCATGCAGACACACACAACACCCTGCTAGCAAACCTTTACTGTACTGGAAAAAATGAATTCATAGAATGGTTTGGGTTGGAAGAGACCTTTAAAGTTTGCCTAGTCCAACCCCCTTGCCCTGGGCAGGGACACCTTCCACTAGATCAGGCTGTTCAAAGCCCCATCCAACCTGGCCTTGAACACTGAATGGAAGATCAATTATCAGAGAATCATCACACAGCCCAAGTCGGAAGGGACCTCAAAGGATCATCTGGTCCAACCTCTGGTAGGAAAGGGAGCCTACATGAGATTATCTAGCACCCTGTCCAATTGCATCTTGAAAACCTCCAGTGATGGAGACTCTACTATGTTCCTAGAGAGGCTGTTACAGCGAGTGATGGTTCTCACTGTAAAACAAGCTTTGAACAGCCCTTCTTCCATCCTAAACATCTGCACCACAGTGCCCACATCCACAGCTGAGTCTTACAGACACCAAAACCCAAAGACAAACCTATGGTGCCTTAGAACACTGAGCTGTTACAACTGTCTGTCTCATTAGCAGATCACTTCAAAAGTAGTTTACCTGAAATGCCATCTAAGTGCCTCTGAATAAAGGAAAGCTTTTTTTAATGGCATCCTGACCATTCTTTTGAGCATTCTTGTGACAAGTCTTGAAAATGATTTGCCTTGCCAGATGTTCCAACCACAAGCCCTTGCTGTGAGCACTGAAGGAGGGACCGCACTAGGGGTGCAGGCAAAAGCTCTGTGCACGATCTGTCTGCGCTACACAAGCAAGGTCTGTTCAGAATCCCCAGAGACTGGATGAGATGGGGAGATGCAGCACCTGCCCCGACATGCTCCCGTCAGCCAGGCTGCACCAGAACCCACCAGCGCCCCAAACCTCCCACAAGCACAAGGTTACAATCTGCAAACCTTTCATCTGATAGTCAAAGGTGAGCTCCTCTCCAGCCTTGATGGTTCGTGTAGAAAACAGTGCTATTCGAGGAAGACGTAAGTCGAGGTTATCAATGAACACATTGAAGACTTGAAGATTTGGATCACACTGTAAGGCAAAAATTAATGCAGTCTCATTAAGAAAAAGGCACAGTAAGTGTCACTGAAGCGTTTGAGCAAGGTCACAGGAATGGAAGAACTGGTTCTTCTCTCAGTGACAGAAGTCTGAAATTAAGTTATCTTCTGAAATCAACAAAGTACCTTCTTGAAATAGAGTTAAAGGAGAACACTCCTAGCTTCCAGTCAAGTCCTTTCGAGAAGGAAACCTTTACACAGTACATAGACTACACTAATATGCAACAGCCTATTAATAAAAATACAGTACCTTCGAGAGATGACAACAAAAAAAGATGTCACAGCAATTAAAAGTTACACTCAGAGGTTAAGATTTACCTCCAAAACCCACAAAAATAATTAAAATTGAAAGGAAAGGAAAGAAAAACAGCCGAGCATTTCAAGCCACACACACTCACTGTTCTGTGTTTGGGTTTGGGTTTAAGCACTGCTTCCAGCCAGAAATAGTATTTGCATACTATGAATAAATTTCTGTTTTCAGTTGCTAACCTGCTTGGCTTCTGACTTATCTGCTACGGGCTGGGTGGCAGGAGGAGGGTCAAGAACACTAAGCAGGAACTATAAACCACTTTATGTTTTTTTCTGGATTAAGTGGCAGAAGTCAGGAGTCACTAAGGCAGTTTCTCTGAACGCTTTTTTCCTCTTTAATGGTAAGATATATCCCAGATTAAAGAATCCAAAGTGAAGTCAGACATTTAACTTTACACTGAAGAGTGAGAATACTTCACTCCCATTTCTGAAAGTGAAGAGCAACTGGCTGTATCTAAAACTCTTGTTCATCCTTCTCCCTGGCAAGCCCACATGAAATACAAACATCGTCAGCTCACAAATCTGAAGACATGAATTTACAGTATTTGTAGAACGCTGGCTGCGTACCTCACAAACATTACCTCAGTGAGAAATAATTTTTAGTCCAGGAATGATACATGATTCCTTTACAGATGCGATTCAGCCTTCTTAATTTAGACAGTTCAGTTGAACTGGAAAGAAAACACTACCAAAATTTCCTCTTTAAAATTTACTTGGTAAATTTACTTGGTAAAATTTACTACTTAAAATTTACTTCTCATATAAAATCTAAACTCTGGCAAGTTTAGATTTTATATGAGAAGGAAAAAAAAGTACCTACAGGGGAGAAATACCAAAGAAAGCACAGGAATTGTTATTTTTCTCCTCTACCAGTGTCTGAAGGATTACATTTGGCATAAGCCCCCATCCTGCCCTGCTACAAAATAATGCATCAATTCCGATCATCTCTGACACTCCACTAATTTTATGAAGTACTTCTCACATTGTAGCCTTTTAGTTACTTGGAAAACAACACACCCAAACCAACCAACCCTATTTTGGTTGTCTGGAACCTGGAGATTCAGTGACAACCCCAGTCCTACCAGCTGCCCACTTCAGGCAGCATCTCATGCCCAGATTTTTGTAAGCAGTCCTGCTCCCAGTAAGGCCAAGTATTCCCTTCTATGTATTATGTCAACCAGCTGACTGGACTGTGCTGGCATGAAACAAACTGCTCCAGAAAAACTGTGATTATGGTAAGAAAATATTTACAGTAGAAGAAGATATTTCTGGCACAATTAAGGTAATGCTCCAAATTCTTAGTATACAAAACAAGGTCTTACGCTGTGATTCACAAAGTGGGACACATTTCCGTATCGAGCCGCATCTACTGTAAATTCATCTGAGTCATAGTCCAAATCAAATAAGTATGTATTTCCCTGGTTGTCATAGAGCTGTCCTCGCCTCTCTGCCTCCTCACTTGTAATCACCTAAAAAAAAAGAGAAAAAAGAAACCTGCATCATATTATTAACTATTACTAAATTAAAAGAAAAATCACAATCAAGTTAGAAAAAAACCCCGAAACTTTGCTTAGTAAAAAATACCACATTCATTTTTTGATGTTGAAATAGCATTTCATCTCTGAGGAACAAAGGATACATACATACAGCTAAAGTAATTAGTTAGTGACTGAGGCTTCTCTGGATGTGATCTGTCTACAGCTGATACACAGCACTACCTAGTTTCAGGAAAAAAAATATCAGCACCTTCTAGTAAGAGTTTTGATAGTGACAGATACAATCAACTGTTTATATTTGAAGTTTCTATACACACAACTGTTTAATCAGACACAGAAAGCCTTGTTTACTTCACATAAATCAGTTTCAACTTTCTTCCTTTGCACAGATGAAGACCAAGAGGTATCGGTCTTTACAGCCCAGTCACATTTCCAGTCCAGAATGCATCCCTAGAAGCATCTCTTTCTGCTATTTCTGACTGCAATGAAGGATCCCATTCATGAGAACGTAGGCAGATACATCACTTCACAAAGCTGAAGCTATGCAATTAGGCTAGCACCTATCAGCACTAGGTAGAAACCCAGAAACTCCTCAAAGGAAGAGAAGAACTACAGTGACTTTGACAGAGCAACAGCCTAAACAACCTCACCTGCAGCCTCTTACATTAAATGTACTCTGTTGTGCTCAGCAATCCCAATTTGGCAGCAAGACAGATATGAAATGTGGTGGAACTGGACAAAAAAATCCCTCTAAAATCTTTGTGACAGATCAGATTTGAGAAATTATTCATCACTAGGGAATAAGCAGATTCAGGTGAAAGGGTACATACACACTAGGCAACAAAATCACTTAGTCAGATTTCTGCATTAATCTCTAGGAGATATTTTGAGCAACTGACCTCTTGTAGGTTTACAAGGTATGAACATGAGAAGTTAGAAGACCTGGGTCAGGAAGGATGGGGGAAATATAGTAAAGACCAAAAACATTTGCATGAAGGGAAAGAAGCAGCTATTTGAGTCAACTCAGCAGCAAGGCAGATTTGTGGACAATAGACTGGATCAGAGAGGCTGCCAGGAGCTGCGACGTGAAGAGTCCTGAAGCAGAGCAGAGGTTGAACCAGATAAACACAGGGCAACACAAAATCTGGAGAGTAACTCAGGGGCTGTATTTTATAACATGAAAGCTCTGTTTGAAACAGTATGAGATCGAATAAACAGATAATATCCATACTACGAATCTTATTATTTATTATTTATAAAAAGCAATATGGAAATACTACCTTAAAAGTCCAGACAAAAGAGAAAAGGGGCTGACAGGCTGGGTGGGGAGTTTGGTAACAACTGTGCCTGGGGAACAGCAAAAACTGGAGTAACAAAGATGATCAGGGAAAAATGAAGAATACGACTGCCATGAAGTAAAAGGAGGACTTGCCTTCAGAAATACTATTAGGGCACATATGTAAAATAATTCTTTACTGACACACAGGATAAGTATTCTCTTTACATTCAACCTCTTACAATTGCTCTGGAATAGACAATGTTCTGGACAATGTAATTTTTCTGTCATATAGAATGTCTATTTATTGCATGCCTGTACTCAGAAGCAGACTTATCTATTATACAGCAGAAGTCAAGAGGTGTTACAACTGAAAGCTCATCAAGACTTTCTCCAACATTTCCTTTAAATACTTAATCTCTATGAGATAAATACATACCTCTCCAACGTACTCCATCACAAAACTGTTGGTTTTAATTTCCTGGAGGGTTTTTACGCCCCAACCACGGCCATTGTTAGTTCTGAAGATGCAGAGAGAATACGGTGTCCCTTTCTGTACTATCCTATTAGGGCAGTCAGGCCCACACCTACAGAACGAATTGCATTCATAGATGGGCAAGCCAGGCTGGATTTTCAACTTCTTTCGTTTATTGTAAGCCAAAATAAATCCAGCCTCCTTTGGACAGCACTTCTCAGCAGGGCAGTCAGTGCACTCACAGCCAGTTGTTATTCCATTTATTACATTTATTCCCGGAGCAGGTTTATACTCATTAATGTAGTAGAAGTCTAAAGGAGGGCCTTCGAGATCCACAGTGTTTTCTACCAGAATCATTGCTTTATGATTCTTTTTCCTGTTGAGTTCCTCTTTCCATCTCTGCAGAGCTATTCTTTGCTTAGCCTTCTTTACAATGTAATCTGCAACGGCAGGTTTCAAAGCTTTAACATGGTTTCTCACTTCCAGTGCTTTGCCTTCTCTCACCCGCGACAAGTATTCGTTCTTGTCACTGAGAAAGTTCTGCAGAAGCAACGGGCATTTCAGATTTTTCTGAGGTTCCCAAGTATTTGAAGATTCTGGCCATCCTTTCCATTTCACAAGATAGTATTCTGTGCCCTTGAAATATAGAAACACATACGGCTTTAGCCACACTTCATTCTGCTGAAATCCAGCATCCACAGAGTACACAGACAAACACAAAACAGCCCTGGAGTTAAGAAACAGCACATAGTGCAGAAGGTCTTGATGTCCCCACAACAATTAGAATTGGGGAGAAAGAAAAATTAACTTGTAGCACAACTTTGGATACTTTACATATCATCTCTAGGGGCAAAGAAATAAACAGCCGAGATTAATTCTGATCCCTCACATCATACCTGGAGCAGGCCAGCTTGTTAAAGCAGTTACGTTATGTTAGGCTAACCAGTTGTATGACTCATATGCACAAACAGAACGTACCAGTATCACATACAGAACAAAAAAACCCTTCTAAACTTAATGAAAAAATGTCTAAAAAAAGTCATATCAACCATCCCCCCCAAAGGAGTAATCCATTCAAAACAAAGAATATTATACTTATAATCAAGAAGCATACATTTTGTACTTATTTTAAAAAGACCAAGTAACTGTAAGAAGGCCAAATCCTGAGACTGAATTTCACTGGCATGATCAAGCCGTAGGAATCCAGTTGCAGCACATGGCCCTAACTCTTTGTGATCAGTCTACAACAGTCCAAGAGAGAAATATACAGACTGTTACCTGCAAATAAACGAGAAGCATCACAGTACATACCAAGCTACAACCCAAAAGCATCAACGTTTTGCTTTACTTCTAAATACGCAAAGGCAAAACATTTCATATTCTGACATCTCTGTAATTTCAGGAAAAGACCTTCCTTCAACACAGAGAAAGCAGCAGTTACACTGCTTTCTGTTTACAGGTCAAAGTTTAAAAGGTATTTCATTCGATGTCAGCAAGAGCTCTGTCCTCACATCTTCCTAATTTATATTATGAGCAAAACTACCTTTGTCTCGCTTCCAAATTTCAGCTGAAAGAGTGATCAAATCGGTCTGTGTTTCTCTTACCTCTTCTACCTTGTAGTCACACAAATATTCCACCTCATAACTCTTTAGATTCCTGTTGGTGATTCCAATGGATTTACATCTGAGATTTTCCTTCCTACATAATTCTTGGAGGGTCTCAAGTGAAGCTAGACATGGCACATACCAAGCTACAATAAGAAAATTGGTAAAGAATCCTATTTAATGTCTCGGCTAAATTGCAATCATTACGCCTCATCCCAGAGTCCCCACATTAGCATTTGTGATAGCAGTCCACGGGTCTCCTGTACAACTGCAGCGTCTCACAGAGTGAAACTCAACCCTTCTCTAAGGGGTGAAGCAAAACACGTGAACGATTCCCTTCCTGCACCTCGGTTCTGTACAGTACGTGCATTTATAAAGAAAAGTAAATATTCTGGAGGGAGGGTAAAGACTTCCACAGGCAAAAGTTGCACTAAGAACCCAATAATTTTCCTACAATTAAAGCATCCCACAACTGAGCTACGGCGACGAGGAAACCTCCGCTCTTTCGTAAGACCGCCAAATATCTGTAGTTAATCAAGTGGAATCGAGCACTTGCGATGCAACCATGGTGACTGGACGAGGAAAGAAAGATCCACGGGGCTCTTCCAGAACGATCGCGGGTGCCTTGTCAGCCGGGAGGATTTAAAGGGACGGGAGGCCCGGCAGAAGCGCCAGCTCCCCGCCGGAGCCCGGGAAACACCCGCGGCGTGGGGAGGGGGGCGGCGGCGGCGGC